ACTTAGTGTTGCTCCAATGTGCTCCTTGTGAGTACTTCAGGGAAAATACTGTAACTTTCCATGCCTTGTATTTACTATCTCTTCATGTGAGCTTCTTGTCTCTGTATTTTTCTCCTACTTAGAATATGAAAACCCCAATAACTTTTTACATTTGAACTATTTTCCTTTTCACATTTTGCTAAATATTAAAGAGTATTTCTAAAAGAAAATGTGTTTTCTGTTATGTGAACAACACCAGGAGTTTAAGATCAGACACTCGGGGCTATATACGATTCACCTGCAGCCCCTTCCAGTTATTATTGACCTTGGCATTTGATTCCAGCTCTTCTGTCATACCACTCCTGCATGGTCCTTTGAGATCTATGGTGGCTGTAGTTAGTCGAGTGCTGCTTTTTTTTTTTTTTTTTTAAACTCTAAAGCACTGTTTAGTTACCTGGAGCGCATATTCAATCACTTTACCCCTCAGTGTAAGTCCTACAGGCTGGTACCTGCTTTCTCATCTTTGCTAGCATGCTGAAAACATGTTTAAAGACTCTTAAGCTGGGTCCATCTTTTTCTGAACGCTTATATACAAGCACTTAAACTGGGTTTGAGGTATTTGGTGTATATACTCATTCTGGATTTTCAAAGCCTTACGGGGTTGCAGTTTGACTGTCTTCTGCTGCCATTGCAGTAGGTTATCCGGGCTGTGCTGGTGCAGTGCAGGGGGAATACAATCATGATGGAGGTTAAGACTGACCTGTTTGGCAGCAGGCAGCTAATCAATGGTTTGGATCTCAGTCTGTGAGATAGTGCAGTCACCCAGCAGCACACCACGGTGCAGCTCCTGATCTTTGAAGCTGAGCTGCAGGCGTGCTGGAGGTAAGAAGTGGTTCTGCGGTTGGGCTGCTTCGGGTTCTCGGCTGTTGGGTGGCTGGATCTGTGATCTGTCTAGACTGTGGATGAGCAACTGGTGTACAGCTTCTCTCTCAACTACACCCCGAAGCCGCTGGCCAACACCCCCATTGTTAGAATGAATGGCGCTGTTGTGGGTCTCGAGTGTCACTACATGAGGTGAGTCCTGTAGGAGTTGGAGCTCGGAGGATCAGCAGGGCCGACTGTCTTGAGCTTGACTCCCTGCTGACGCCTGCCTCCTGTCTGCTAGGCTCTACAATGTGAGCAGCAATGCCCTGAAGCCCACCTGGGTCCCTTACACCTCCACCAAGTCTGCTGAGGATCTGCTGGGCTTCTCCCTGAGAAAAGCTGTGTGGCCACCTTGGTCCTTGACCAGACCTCCACCCCCAGCTACTCCTTCATTGAGA